CGCTGCATCCCCTGAGTGAGGCATAGACCCACTGAGACTCTTGATATCTCTTTATCTTTATTTCCAATTTCCAAGCTACACGCTTGTGCGTTAATTTCGTTGTACATGAACAAGCCCATGTGTCGAACAAGCAGTGCAAGTCTGGTGCTGCTGCTCCGGCCCTCAGACGATTGAAGCCAGCGCTTGCTTTTCTACCGGAGCAAGCAGAAGTGGAGAACCCCCAAGCCAGAGACATCGTCCAGAGAGCCGGGGCAGAGGTCTATTTTGAACAGGCCAGGCGTTTTGAGCTTGACGGGCACGCCGTGCTTCTAGAGATCGTGAGATGTTGTCCGCACTGACGGCAGCTTTTGAACACATGCATTTAGGAGAGGCCGAGTATGAGACGAGTCTAGAGCAGTTGTGGCAGAAAGATCCACCCGTGTCTCAGCGGCTTCTCATATTGTGCGCAGGGTGTGGAGCATCCCGACAGAGCTGCCCACCTGATTCCGCAGAAGGCTTCCAGCAAGGTTTACGAACCCTTGTGAAGAACAAGTCGGTCATTTAGTCAAGCTGTATTGCTTGCAGCAAACCGGGCTGGAAGCTACTGGCGGCCCTCCTTTCGGCATCCAGATTCCCTTGGCCGTGCCGCTTTCAGTCAGTCGGCGGAACCTCACGCCTCGTATTGTTTAGTACAGCGATTCCAAGTTCGGCTCTCCACGGGAGGAAGATAGCTAAGATTTCCGAGTTCACGAAGAACTGCCTCAAGGCAGGCGATCTCTTAGCGAGCCACCGCGAAAAGAGAACAGTGTTCAAAAGGACCATGCTCGAGCGTGAATCTCTTCATTGGGTGATGCTGTGTTCCTGTGAATGTACTCGTAGATTCATGACGGATGACAAGGGTCCAAAGTCCACGCAATGCGCCTTCATGCTGGGGCTCAAAGCCGTATTGGCAGGAGTTAGAGATATTGTGCCTCCCTGGGGCTCTGCGATCGTGAACAGACCGCGGACGTCATGGCTCCTCGTCAGTCCTTGCTTCGACCTCTAGCGCGTGCAGTCCGCACCGTTGGGCAGCGTCAGCTGCATGTGAGCCGCCTTGCGATGGACCAGGCGAAGATCCGGCAGGTTATCGCTGATGCCCTGAGTGTGAGTGCGAGCATGCAGCCGATCCCTGCTGTGCCTGCAGATTACCATGCCCACGC